TCAACTGGACTTCCACAAAATAATACTTTTTGTCTTTCTTACAAAAGTGCATATTTTTTATACGTAATGGTTCGATAAGTCTTTAACTAGACTTCTAAAGCTCATACACCTTCATTAGATAGCATATGTGTGTGTTTAAACCATATCAGAACTTATAGCTATAAGTCTTGAACGTTCAAACTATTTCTTGCCATTTCTCACAATTCGAACCATGAAAAGGGATGTTGTAATCATATTTCGAATTTAAGAAAGCAATTATCACAACTGCTAACCTTAATGATATTAATAAGATTTAAAATCTACTAGTGAAAGCATTTCCTCATAATCATGTTCATGAATTAGAGTGAAACCTTTTTCCACCTAGATTTTATGGTGTATGCATTCCTATCCATGTGAATTTATCAATTCCAACCTACAATCATAAGATAAGGTTGAGGACAAAACCATAATCAATTTTATGTTTTTGCTTTCATGGACTGAGCTTGCTTGTTCTTAATTTCTTCCCTTCTGGTAGCACGATGGCCTACCAGTGCTTCCATGTTGTTAAGAAGCTTACCAATATTGACCAATGTACTATCACTGACCAACGTGCTTTGCCTTTTGTAGTCGAATGAGAACCATAGAACTCATAAGCATTGCCAACACAATAGGAAGGTTCACAGAAACAAGAATGTGTCAACTTAACATGATAGGTTATCAACCTCAGATCGTGTTCCAGTGATAACTAAAAGGTTTATTCTTAAATGTATCCTAAAACTCTTCAAGGTCAATAACACTCCTACTAACATCTTGACATATAAGTTTTCTCTCAAGGAACAATCCTTGATGAGCAAAAACACATATTCAAAATTTAGTGTGGATTCCCTACAAGAAACACTTCATGGAATTACCCTTAGTTCATCCTTTGTTTTAACCAAAACATCACAACTTCCAATTTCAATGTTCTAGAGTAAGGAAACATTATTACTCCACATTTCATGAGGTGTTATAAACCTAATTAGCATGAAACAAGCTTCAAGATACGATTTATAGTTACTAGAGCATGGCTCCAAAACTTGATTGGATAGGAAGTATGACTCACCTATTGATTGAACCACTTCATGAACATCCAGTTCCCCTTCTTAGTCAAAATAATTGCACTAAGATGTTCTTCAGGAATCAATTTTGATATACTTCAACAATCATTAAGATGATCATAAAACATTATAATAAAGTATTCTCCTTTCCTTTCAGATTGGAGAAACTTTTATCTTTATTCCTAATAGATTCTTCTTATTCATTCTATCACACTTTGAAAACTTTTCAAGGTGTTAGAGTTACGCTTAATATTATAATCACAACAATATTTACTGAACCATCAGTAAACCATGACGAATAGACTTATTGTCCTTTTTGGTGGATCTAAGTAGTCCACATCAATGTGTACTAGATCCTTTAGTCCTTCACTTGATAAACATGTGATCAACAAATTAATCATAATCTTCCAACAATCATAATTCTCATACATCACACTATTCAAATTGCATGACTCCAAGTTTCTATCCAATTGAAACTTGGGTGATGAGAATTCCTTTTCACTTGGTCAATCATGACACTACCAGAAATGATTTAATTAAGAATCAAATCCATATTTAACATTTCTAATAATATAAATGTAACCATAAATTTTCATTTATGCCATTGCAAGGAAATACAAAGTAAAATAGATAAATCAAAAATTCACTTTTATTGATGATAAGCGGAAAAAAAATTGTCCTTACAATGCAAAAATATGAAAACAATGTTTCTAGACATTTCCTAAGAAAACTATTAAATTATCATAACTCTTAAGAGTAGCTTCCAAAATATGATCATCGAACCATGTGACGAAATCCGTCTCTCACGATTAGAATTTGCTTACTCTTCTTAAGCTTCTTTCTTTCTCTTACATCCTAAAAACCATCACAATGTGATCATCACATCATGTATTAAGAATCTATGAATAGGAACTTATTTAAATAATGGAGTTAGATAATGGATGTACCTGGAGCTATACGACTTCACTTTATCATCTCTAAGATCTTTCAGGTAGTCAGGGTAGCTTCGTAACCAATGTCCCTCTAATTAGCAATAAAAACATGTGGACCTTTTAGGATTAGCACATGGAGCTATCTCAGAACTAGTCTTTCTATTTACCATATGGTCAAATGGTTTAACCTTAGTCGATCCCTTTCAATTGGGAAGAGAAACCTTTTATGGAATACCAATGTTGCCATTATCGATGTCCATGGAAATTTTTGAGACAACTCCTTCAAGCATTTTTGCTTGACTTGTACGTTTAAGCATTTCTGTTTCGGTAGCAATCAACATATATGTTAGATCAATTTAGGTCACGTCATGGTCCCTCACATAGTAGTCTTTAATAAACTGACTATATGATTCAGGAAGTGAAAGTAGAACCAAGTCAATCGCTAGCTCCCTTAGGAAAACAACACCGAACATCCCCAATCTATCAATGTACGATTTCATTTTTAGGACATGCGCACACACAGACTTTCCATCTTGATGTTTAAATACCAACAGGGCTTGAGTAACTTTGTATTTTTTCAGCTTGAAGGAAACATGACTTAGGGAGAGTCACTGGAGGAGGAGGAGGAGGAGGAGGTGGAGGAGGAGGAAGAGTTAAAGAAGTATTAACTCCATATCCACCATTGCTAGAAGAAAGGAATATTATTTCACCATGACCAGAATGTGGAAGGTCATCTTCAAAAAGAAAAATATTTCCAGAAGAACGTGGAAGACCATTATTGTCTGAACTTGACATCACTAATAGGATAAAAGAGAATTCAAGTTACATGATTTTCATCCTTAATTATTAACCCATAAATTTAAATTAAGACTACGATCCACAATTTTGATTCGAACTTTGAAGAGGGATACCATAATCAAATTCGAATCTATTTTAGGTAGGTAAAACTTTTACCAATTTCAATCTTATGGAACTCTTAGATATTTTGAGATTCATTGAACTATTCAATGGCATGTTTAATCGCGATAATGCTCTCAGTTTGTGAATGGGATGCTGAGGATCACAAACAAGATGTGAATAACCATGCAAATTAGCCTGGTACTCTCAATGGCATTCATCATCTTGTTTAATGTGTCGGTTAACCACACACGCTCCATTAAACAAATGATAATTTTTGAGACATCCATTACTAAATTTATCAGCCCCATATTAGTGTCCCGATTAACCAATCATGCTCCATTAACGACTAATAAGGTGCAATGTGCAATTTTATGGATTGCCATCAAATTCACATTTTTCCTAAAGTAACTAAGAGTCGGAATCTTATAAAAACATTTAGTTAGTTTATTAATTCCATTATACTTATTAATGAGAGTTATTTGTCCTATCAAACCCGTTCGGCTAAAGACCCACCACCAATTAAGAAAGCAGTGGACGAGAATGGAACCCATTCAACTACCATTTTATAGGTAGTTTCCTTATACCCCCTTATATACCGGCTTCATGAAGGAGGCGTACTAACAGTTCGACTGATTTTTCTTATACATATAGTAAATATTTAACATTTTAAGTTTACATATAGTATAAGGTGTATTTTAAACAATTCAAAAATACTAGGTTTAATTGCTAAATTTCAAAAACTAAAACAATTTTAATTTAAATTAAAATTTAAACCAAATGATTTAATAATTATTTATTAATTAAACATTTTATTAATTCATTAAATCAATTTTAGGATTATCCATTAAGGATATGTTTGGCGAACTAGATGAAAAGCTAGCTGTTACCGGAAAAGCTAGCTGATAGCTGAAAAGCTAGCTGTTAAATAAAAAGCTAGTTGATAGTTGAAAAACTAGCTGATAAAAAATAATGTTTGGTAAAACTAGCTAAAATATATAAAATTACATAAAATGACATGTAAACTATGTGTTTCTATAATTAATTAAGGGGTGTATTTGGAAAATTTTTGAAAAAGCTTCTAAAAAGCTAGTCTAAGTAGCTTTTCAAAAAGTTAGCTTATAAGCCACTTTTTAGCTTACCAAACATGACAACATAAAAATGCTCGAAAAATAAGCTAGCTTGTCACCTAGCTATGGCGTGCCAAACACATCCTAAATTAATCAACATAATTTAACTTAATCCTCTCTCCTAATTAATTTTCAAAAATATGGAAGGGATGAAACAAAATCTAGCAATTATCTATTTAAACAAGTAAAAAGATAATTAACAAAAAAATCTCTAGCACATATGGCTATTTTGGAAACTATGGAAGGGATCAAACAAAGTCTTGCAATTATCTAATTAATCAAATAAGGAGATAATTGCCAAAATTAAGAAATCCCTACCAAAACCCTAATTTCCAAAATTTGGCACTACTAGAAAAAAGGCCTTTAACGACGTGCAAAATACGACGCTCATTGATCTATGTTACGCAAAGGAGAGTGACATTAGAAAAATGTCATCTCTTCAAAAAATTTAAGGATAGAAGACACGCATTATTGCACGCCCTTAAATTAGTGTCTAAAAAAAACACAGAGGGCACCTATAATAAAATGCGCGTCGTCTAAGGATGTCGCTTTATAATTTTTAATGGAACGCGCGTTCCATCCTTTAACAGTAGGGGGAAATGAAATTCTGAAAAAATTAAAAATCCCGCCTTCCTTTTTTTTTCTCCTTTCCCTCTTGCCCAAATTATGGACGCTCCTTCCTTCCCCTTCCCGACATTGCTGCCTACTTCTTCCCTCACTTCTACCTACCGGAACCACCATATCTCCCACTCGATGTTGAAATTGTTAGAAAAAGCCCTAATTATACACTCACACTAGATTGGGCTCTCATTAATTGGAAATCTGCGCTGAATTTCTTTCTACCCATGGACACAATTTTCAATAATGCGATAACAAAAACGATTACGAGCCATGAGAGAGCGTACACTAAGATTGATTTATCGTTTTGGAAGACTTTGAGGTGGTAAACGATACTGTATTGATAAATGAAGAATCGGAGAGAAAGGAGGATTTCCGTCAGACGACCGACTGTACCGGTGGATCAGAGGTGGTCCTATTCTTCCTCCCACCACGATTCCCAGCTTTTGTTCGCCAGAACACCGATTCCACCGTGGTTTCTGATCCACGCTGACCAGTCGTCCCAGTCTTCAACGATTTTCTGCCCTTCTTCAATCTTGAGTACACGGTGTGTGCTTATTTTTTCTGCTCAAATCCCAACTTCCACTTCAGATTTACAATATTTTTCTATATTTTTTTTCTTCATAAACATGCTGATTTATCCCATTCTATACCTAAACTTTGATGTTATGAATAGGGTATCAATAGGGCTAGGGTGGAGCAAATGGAAGACCGGTTGAAGGAAAGTTATGAATAGGGTATCAATAGGGCTAGGGTGGAGCAAATGGAAGACCGGTTAAAGGAAGACATATTGCTAGAAGCTGCAAGGTATTCTTTTTAACATGTTTATGTGTTTGATATCCATTTTCTTATCATCTCAATACCTATCTCGATTACAGATATGGAAATAAGATCCTAGTAACTGATGAACTACCAGATGGTCAAATAGTGGATCAATGGGAGCCAGTCACACCGACTCTGTCAAAACATCACTACAGGTTCACCATACTATGAAATTAAATGTTCATTTTGAATATCTGTTTCATAATTCCTTTCACTATTGTAGGTCTATTTAGAAATCCAAACAAGAAAATTCCTTGTTGACTACGAACGCATTCCAGCAACAGATGAAAAATCACCCAAGGAACATGATTTTGATATGTTGGTGAGTGTTATTTTCATTTAACAAAATGAAAATATTTAACTTAGATTATACTTTATATATGATTTGTGTTTTATGATCTTTATAGGTTGATAGAATTTCAAGAGCTGATCTTAAGACAGAAATAATCTTTAACTGCCAAATGGGGCATGGGCGTATTACCACAGGGATGGTCATTGCCACATTGATCTATTTAAATCAAATAGGAGCTTCTGGTACTTTTTTTTTTGTCTCTGTGAAGTTTATGTTTTATGATTGCATGCTTTTACAGTATGCAAATGAACCTTTTTCCTTATAAATTTCCCATTACAACAACATTCTTGAGGCCTGGGTAGACCCGTCTTTTGGCACAACATGAGAGAAGAACCTGTTATTTACATTAATGGAAAGCCCTTTCTGCTTCGTGAGGTTGAAAGACCCTACAAAAACATGCTCGAGTATACGGTATATACTAATAATCCTCTCTCATTTTTAATGTTTATTATTTAAATATACTCAAGTGTCAAGTGGTTTAATGTAGGGAATTTACTGTGAAAGAGTGGAGAGAATGGAAGCTCGACTGAAAGAAGATATTCTCAAAGAACTGAACGTTATGGATGTAAGGTATCTACCTGATACCTTGCTGCAACCTTGTTGCCTAAGAACAGAAAACAAAACAGAGCAGGAAGAAAAAAAGGAAAAAAAAAACTACATGGCTGGCAACAGGTGATAACAGGGGAAGAAAAAGATGGGATTTTTTATTTTGCTTGGTGGAAAAGAAAACTTTTATTGCTGAAAAACTTCTTTCTAAATACCTATAACGTAGCATATTTATACTAAAAGAAAAAGAGTTTGACTCATAGTCTAAAACCGGGAAACAAAAATAATAAAAGCATTTTCCTAAAATGCCCCTGTGGGCTTTTTCCTGAATTACGCCAACAATGGAGGTGATATTATGGCAATTCACGAACTACAATCATATTTTATTACAAAAACTAAATTAAATTGGAACTTTCCCAACATACCCCTGAGGCTATTTTTGTCCCCAATTCTCAGGGGACGGAATAATGATGGATGGTCAAGCTAAAATTTGGTTTTGAATTTAATTTGGTATAAAAATGACAGGTTTCATAATGGTAGATGGTCAAGATACAAGAACTTTTCAAGTCCATTTGGAATATTACACTACAGATAATATTCTCTCTTTATTTCAGAACTTCTTACTTCTTCGTCTTATTAACTTCTTCATCTTATAATATGTTTGGATGCTGCTACATTTTAATACTGTCTGGAGTATATTATATTTGTTATTTGTGATAATAGCAGCTGGTTTTGTTTGTGATGGGATTAGTGTAAATTTTTGTCTGTTTTGTTGTTTTCTGGATGATAGCTAGGTACCTAAAGCATTGTTTAAAGGTGGATCAGTAGTCTACATGTCATTGCATGTCATTGCATTCTCACTGTTACCTATCAAAGTACTGAGGTAAATATTATGATTTTTTATATTAGTTTTCTTACTTTCTAAAATTATTAGTGTTTTTTTTTTCTGAGTTATGATTGAAAAACAGTGAACTAGGGTAAATTTTATGAATTATGATATTAGTTTCTGAAAATATATAATTAGGGCATCATTATGTCTTATTGCCCCGGGCAACATATTTCTTTGGACCGGCCCTGGGTCCTTGCATTGCAATTGCCTATTTATCGGTTCTAAAGGACTGTGAGATTCATTGCTTTCATGAAGGATTGGAAGTCAAACGACTTGGTGGTCTCCATGTCATTGGGACATCTTTGCATGAGTCCCGAAGAATTGATAATCAGGTAACTTTGCATCAGTATTGTGTTTTAAGGTTTTACATAAATTTAGCATATACTTTCAGACTCACTTTTTTAATTTATTTCTTGCTTTACAAAGCTTCGTGGCAGAGCAGGAAGGCAAGGAGATCCTGGATCAACACGCTTCATGGTCAGGTAAGTTCATTTAAATGATTTTTATAAAGTTTAAAGTCAATCCTTTCATCTGGACAAAATTCTTCATGTTAAATTACGTAATAGTCCTTGGAGTAGTTGACATGAACAATTTTTTTTGTTAGAATGATTCCATATATATGTGCAAGCAAGCACATGCCTTGTGAAAAAGGGAAATCTATTCTAGTCATTCTCTTTAACAAGGCAACCTTAAAGTTGATTTTTTAAACCTGATGTTTAAAACTACATTGAGTGTGAGATAGAAGTTTATGCAGAGAAGGAAAATGATAGAAGTTTTTGAGGATGTTGCTGATGAAAAAGATAGAGGTTCTTTAGGATGCTGCTAATGAAGTTTATGCAGAGAAGGAAAAAGATAGAAGTTTGTTGGCACATAGTAAGCTAGATAATTAATGCAATTGTATATAAATGAGTTCATTTTTTTATAACATTTACTCACTATTGGAATAATTATTTGTATTTGACATATTAGTGAAATGAATTATATTTGTTATTTATGGTATTTTATTTATTATTATGAGATTTCTAATGTATTATTTAATATGAAAAATTAGTAAATCTATAAATAATATTTTTTTAAAACATTTAAAATTATGATACGCAAAAATGTGTGTCATCTTTATTTATGATATGGCCTTTCTTGACAGGGGCTTCCTTGATACGCATTGCGTGTCATAAACACGCGCGTCGTAAGGTTACGACACGCAAATGCGTGTCGTCTTCCTTTATGACAGGGCCTTCCTTGATACGCATTGCGTGTCATAATCGCACGTCGTAAATGTGTGTCATAAATGCGCGTCGTAAATGCGTGTCGTCTATAGACGACACGCAAAAGCGCGTCATCTCTCTTTATGACAGGGCCTTCCTTGACACGCATTTGCGCGTCGTCTGAGCGTTTTACGATGCGCAATGAGCGTCGTAAAAGGCCTTTTTTCTAGTAGTGTGGCAAATCTTAGAGAGGAAGGCAACGATTTCAAATCCTTACCATAATTTCAAATTTTCATAGGGTTAGGAAACCCTAAAATCGAAATTATGGGGTACAAAGGAAATGGTTAAAACCCTTTTCCAAATATTCAAAATCAAGGGTTCGGAAACCCTAATTTACAAAAACCCTAACTCCAAAGGGTTTAATAGCCAAAAAAAACCTAATTTGTCAAGTTCAACCAATTACATCATATTCAATAGAAAACAATTCTGGTCCCAACTTGTCTACCAACTAACTGAAATCACCAAACTCCAACCTGATTGTTGAGCTAAAGGACATACAAACACACAGTAACACCAAGTGACTTCTAAGAGCAACCATATCTAGCAATAATACCCCAACCCACATTGACATGAAACCTACTGCTAAAAGAATACCATGAGACCAACTGCAGTCTCATAACATACCCAGTATCCAACGACCTACCTTCTCTTGATTCCAAACACGCCGAGGCCCTCTCGCAGGAAGAACTAACCTAAGAGACAACACAACAGCTCGATTACTATCAAAACTAAGCCCATTCATTACCCTTGAAACCTGCAATTGACGACCTTGGCATATAGATACCCCAATTCTTATTTCACTTAAGCGAAATCCTGCACAAAACACGTGCGATCCCCGACTCGATATTTCTCCCAAAATTAATTCAATACTCCACTCATAACCCGAGATTCACGAATCTGCACTTGCATCTCACACCACAACCTTCTGATTCCCGACACCCCTCACCTGACTGATAAATAATTACTCCCAAACCATCTCTGAGACTACCAGTCTCGCACCTGGTCCAACCACTACGTTCCCAAGAATCCAAAAAGAAAGGCTACCCAGCCTAAATGCCTATGTGTTACACACTGATCCTCCATATGATCCTGCAACTCAAGATCCAATACCTTGACACAACGTTCTATAGTAGGCGTTGCGTGATCTACCATAATCACATGGGCATCACCCACAGGTCCTAATAATCTAAAGCTATACAGGCCCGACTTCGACCTGGACCCCAATGGACCTCATCCTAAAATAGAGAATACTCCTCTACAACCCTGAGCGACGTGCCCAAGGCATGAAATGATTCTCCATCATACTCGACCATTTATAATAATGGTTTACCTCGAACTGGTGATTGCTTCAATCCCATCGTAGTCTTACAACACATCCAACTGACCATGATTACCCCTCATGGCCTTACCATACTCAAACCAACACAATACAACGCATCTTGAGCCAAATCTTGCAACCAATTAGGAGTTCGGGTCAAGCATTCGAATCTCATGGACTAATATGAATAACAATGGAGATGTCGACCTACACTCGGGAGTTTCCTAAACCCCCTACCAACAAAACCTCAATCTGAACCGCAGTTTCCTACACATTTTGCACTGACCCTCACCATACTGGCCTCTCAAACCCTAATTAGAAGTCTTGGGTCTCTTTCCGAGACTCTCCACTATATGCACTTGACCTGATCGATAAATCATCTCCTGACATAGTATCAATAGCATTATCACCCACCTCACGACCAATATCTTCTCACCAATCACGCGCCCTGAACTTCAATAGGCAGGAAGTATATCTGACCTTTGCCTCCTCGGGCAGACATTTTTCCTGAACGTGTTAGCCATAACCGCTAACCGCTTCCTATAAGGTCCCTCTCCCTATAGAATGTAGGAGCTTCACAAGAATGAAATTCACAGAAAGAAAGAATGTGAGTTCCAACGATAGCCATAACCTCAGCACGGAACACTCCCATACGTTCATCCAAGATCTCCAAAAACCCTCCTTGACCGAACCAAAATCATAGAAGTCTTCTCCAAAACATTGCGAGTAGTCTCCGACGAGACGAATTCTTACATTTGCTCGCTAATCGGCTCAGTACCCTTACTTGAGCCGGAACAAGAACCAAAACCTCCTTCCTGGAAGCTCATCACCAAACTGAAATACAATCATGCAGAAGATCATAACATAATCAAGGATTCTCTTCCCCAAGCTTTCTTGATTTTCCAAGAATCTCCCTGATTCAAGTATGGATCCTGTGCTTTTAGTAGTGTGGGCCCACTACTACCTTCCACAATTATCAACACGTTCCTCATGAATCATCCTGAATCCTCTAAGTCACCAATTCCACTGATGCGTCAAATCTCACTAAACAATGCGGCTACAACCACTGCAACACTCCCTAGGCTCACCTAGGTTCCCGACCTAACTCTGCCATCAGCTGCCGAAGAACTCCTCTTAATACCAGTCATCCACCTCATGAATACCATCATTCTTCACTTAGTAGCTGACTCCCATCATCTAAGAGTTCCACAAAGCACAAAGCAAGCAACATTCATGAAGTAACACTCCAATCCATAGAACTATCATATAACATTAAACCCACACACCACCACTTATGCTAGAAATTCCACCCTTACTGTCGGTTGCCTTGTGCATGCAAATTATACATAGAACATGATCAAATAGATTGTCTAATTACAGAATCTATCCTAGGACCACAACCAGACAAGGAACATGATATAAATCCAAATCAATTATTCTTGGGTTATAAGATCCTAATCGTATACAATTTTTAAAGCATACACTTAGCAATTACTGATTCCAATAGATATTCTCATCACAGCATAGCATATAATACACCCAATGCAAAACGGTATCACATATCAGATCGAACTAACAAGTGGTGTGTGCTCTACAATCATCCCAAACTCATCCATTTGAAAACGGGAGTACATGAAACATTAACAGAAATCGTAAGCATAAAGCGTAGTGAGTTTTCAAAAATACCATACCACATACAACCACAGATTATCATGCACATATATATATATATATATATATATATATATATATATATATATATATATATATATATAGTTTCCATGGGCTCCCCCCCCCCCCCAATGGCCTTTACCTGGAATGCCATGGGCTTTCCCCATGGTTTGACATCCAATTGCCATCGGCTCCCCCCTGCTCCTAGGGTCTTCCATCTAAGTATCAAAGAGATAACGAGCATACCACATAACACGTAATTGGATGTCATTGGTGCCTTTGACCCAAGGACATAGTGAGAAGACTCACCTCACACTGTTGAATCATACAGAAACACTCTTGGTTGTTAGCTGGCAGATCCGCAAATTATCAATAGCAAAACAACACCCAGTTAACAATTGGGTTCCAATACATAACCATAACTCCACACCTAGGGTAAATAGACCATTTTACCCCTAACTTAGCCTTATCCAAATCTAAGACCTAAACTTACAAATTGAAAGGCCCAAAGACCGATAAATCAACCAATGGCCTAATTTTCCAAATTCTGCCCAAGCCCCTTACATGGGCCTTACGTTAAGGCCCAACCATTCTTTCTATCCCAATACACTTTACATTTTGATGGCCCATTAAGTGATAACTATTCTAAAGCCCAAGTATTGTCCAAATTTCCAAATTGGGCCCAGACCTCTTCAATGGGCCTTACCCTAAAGCCCAATAATTTCCTTAGTCCAAAAGTCTACTTTCAAATGGCCTACTAAGGCCCACAACAACTAGGTCCAAGAAATGGACCAAAGCGAGTCCCACAAATGTGAAGTCCATTCTGACTGACTATGCATGGCGTACCCAGCTGTATGTTGTGCGTCCACGCTTGATGGCTTGTACGCTGCGCGTACAGGCTTGTACACCCAACATACTCCTCTATTAAGCCCACTTTTTCCATTAAGCACTTAATTCCTATCCCAAAGGTCCAAACCATAGATCTGAGTCCTAAACAATGTCTAGACCTATAAAGCCACTGACTTGGTGACATTACATGCCCCAAATGAACTCAAACTCAAAATATAACATTATACTATCTTGAAAATGGGCCCAACTCTTGTATCGGTGGATCTAAACTCTAATGTTACCAATTTTAGGGACCTTGAACCTCAGAAACACTAAGAGGGGCAAAATCAAAGCTCCTAGAATGGAATCTATACCATTAGATCTCATTCATGGGACCAAAATGAACCAAAACTCATAAATGGTAGATCTAAGACATCAATGATCAAGTTCAAAGCTTTTTACCTCTAACAAGTTGGAAAAGAGACACATAAGCAAGATCCATAAGCTCTTCCTTGATTCCCATCTTTGCACCAAGCTCCATCTTCTTAGAAATAGACCAAATACACCAAAAATGGACACCAAAAGCTCAAGATGCCACCGTGAAGGCTTAAGGACGATTTCTAGGGTTTTAGAGGGTGGGGGATGAGTTAGGAAATGGGGAAACAGGCTAAAATTATGCTTATATAGGGTACAACCCTAAAATTAGGGTTTTTTAATATGT